AAATTAAAATTTGAAAACAAAATTGTTTTTAATCTATTTTACTTAACAGACAAAATTTTTTGACAATTTTTTTGAAAAGATAAAATTATAAAGAATATAACTATCTAAATTAGATTTGCTCTTGTATATAAAAAATTTTAAATTGCTTTAATGAAGATGAAATAGGGTTTTTTAAAAATCTATTTCAGTAGCATGTATATCTAGAATATAATTAAAGTCAGCTATAATTATTAATTATGCTTTTTTAGATCTGTTAATATATCTTTCTAGAATCTACTTTTGAATAACTATTTTTTTTATTCTTATTGTTTGGTGTTAAATATACTATCATAATGATTAACTCTAGCTGCTTGTATAATTTTAATATTATATATTGATTGTTTATATAAATTTGATATAATAGATGTTGATTGAATAAAAGTATAATTTTCAAATCAGGCAAGAGATATATAGATGTACTTTACAGAAGAGACTATTCAAATTTAAAAATAATTTTTATATATAGTATGAATAGCTTAGTTATATCAAATATTTTTAAATAGCAAAAACTTTTTATTTAAAAGTTTAATTATAAAAACACTATATATATTTAAATAGCTTTTGATAAAATCTATTAAACTATGTATTTATTTTTTGAAGTTTTTAAAGTTTTATTAAAAAAAATCTAAGTTTTAAAAAATACAATTTTAAAAATTTTAGTACTAATATAAAAAAAATTAAAAATATATAAAAAATTTAACTAATTAAATTTAATTTTATAAATAATGATCAGCAAAATTTTTAGCACTATTAAAAAAGTTGATGCAATTAAACTATTTGTACTATAGTTACACAATTAATTAATAATTTTTTTATATAGTTTACAATACTTTTTTAATAACTTCAAAAAGTTTAGCTCTCTAAAAATATAAATAAAATATAGCAAAAATACAATGACAACCTATGTGTATCTATTTACCCATCAGCTTACGTAATGTTTGCTAATAATCTATGCATACTTGGCCAATCAAAATATGGCACGAGAATATGCAAATCAGATATAATCTTGATAGCGATGGAATTTAACTTAAATATTAAAACGTATACATATGTGCGAATTTAGTTGCATATACGTATTCATTTTTGCAATTCTGTTATTCTTTACAAGTTTAATAACTATAATAGTTTGTTATGCTTAATATACCAAGAATATATTATATAAAATTTTTTTCTAATTTTATTATTGATAATAGGACAGTTTTTAAGACAAAAAATGAAGAATTGCTTTTATAAAAAAGAATAGTAATACAAAAGATCTTACGCTACATATTATATGACAATATGACGATTAGATTAATTAGTTGTCGTAGTTTTAAACTAAGGAGAGCGATTAATTTTTTTTTTTTTTTTTTTTTTTATAATATATTATTAATTAATTATTTTTTTCATTATTTTTCGATAAAATAATTAGTTTCGCTTAACTCAGAGCCAGGGATAGGACAATTTTCAAATAATGCAATTTTAGTTTTTCTTTTTATTCTTGCATTCACAATTGCCTCTAAATCGGTAGCAGTCATTTGATTTCTATCTGCCTGATCATGTCAGTTCCAAACTTTTCAAATTGCACTTACCCAATCTTCGAAAGAAATATCATCAGCGATATTTGTAAGTTCAGGCTCCTCTACTTGTTGAAAGGATGATGTTTCAGATACTAGTGCAAGGTAGAATTTTTGGTATACAGCAAATATATGCTTGTATATAATCCCACAAAACTTAAAGTCCAGACATGTATATTCTAAATACACAGGTTTTATGTTAATGTTTTCTTGTAAATCATCTTTAATATTAATCTCATAATTATCATTATTATTTGTAGATGACTTTACAAGAAAACATTGTCCACCAGGTATTGCAAAACTTTCCAAGTTTAATCCTGCAAGTTTTCGATGACATTGTTCTTTTTGACGAGGCTTCATCCTTCTAATCATCAAATTGATAGCTTTATATTCAAATTTTGCATCTGTTAAGACAGCATGTAAAGTCCAAATTAAAGTGTCAATTCGATAATTTTGTTTGGCACCTAGGTATGTATATTTAAGTTTTTTGTGCTATGTTTTAACGAAATTTGTGGTATTTATTTCTTGATGCTTATA